CTCCTCTGGAGGCATGGAGAGCTCCTCTTCTGTGGGCTAGGAGGAGATGAATTAGCAAACATTCTATTGTGTATGTGTACATGATAGAACGTCCTGCAGTTGTGGTGCATAATTGGCTTCACAAACAGCATGAAAAGCATACCTCCTTCAGGAGCTTCAACAGCTCCTCATCAGTCACTGTGGCAGTTGGCAGGGTTACTTGCTCCTCGCTGGCAGGTCTTGTTTGGGCTGTCACATCAACCTGAAGAAAGTACAGGATTAGTGAGATTTATAAAGGACTACATTTCATTCAAAATCAAACACACTTACCTCAGGTGCTCTGAGCAAATCTTGTGACATCTCTGTGGTGGAGCTGGCTCCAGTGGTGCTATTTTTTTTGGCTTCTTGCTCTTGAGTCTCAGGTATGGTCTGCTGAGAGTCAAGAATGAGCTTCATTGATGAGAATATATCAGTTGTTCTATTGTGTACACATACATGATATATTACTGAGAAAATGGTGGTTATAATTGATTATAAGAGTCAATATTGTTGAATAGAATGGAAATATGGAGTATAATGAAACAACTGTTATTATGATGAGACAACACTGTGAAATGAAAGGATGCCATAAATTAGTTGTATTGTATATTTAAAATGATATTTCATCATGTACATGTACATGATGAAATTGTGTCTATAAATGCTAATAAGATTTCATCACATACACATACACAATGGGATGGTGCATACCAATTCAGTCAGTTTTGCCTTGTTCTTCTCCACCTCTGCCACACTTGTGAAGTAATTCTGAAGTGGAAGACACATGATTCCATTAAATCACACTACTTTCATTAAACAAACTGTGCTATTGATGTACTGTGCACATGTTTTGAAGTTCGCCAAGGCTCTTCTTCTTGAGGTCGCTCTCCTTCTGCTTCTTCCACTCTGGTTGCTTGACCATCCACTTGGCAAGCTCAGCTGTGTTGTGGCAGGTCGTTACCATGGACAGAATGCCACTTGCAGACTGGGTAAGGTTGTTGCTCATGTTGTTGTGTGTAGGTTGGAAAAGAATAATGACCATTGTACCATGTTCAGCCTTAAAAGGACTACACTCAACCAATGAGATTTTTTGCAGGCATTTCTTAAAAAGTGTTAGGCTCAAGGCCACCAATGGTGACAGCCTGCTCTGAAATTTCACTGTCTTCATGGGCAAGATGTCATTGGCTGCTGGTTAGATGGTAGACTGGTTTGTGTTGACACTAACTTCAATTCTTATCCTACCCTCTCATCCCACCACATCTCTCAACTGCTCACCCATGGAAGCATTGGATGGTGATACCTGGTTGGTCCCATACTTCTTTTTGATTTTTCCTGTAATTCTTGACCTTCTTTATCAAAATTTTGATGTACCAAGTGAAAATCTATTTATCATGACAATATGTAACATGTCGTTGTAAATCCTATTTTATCATCACATACACATACACAATGATTTAACTACATTTACATCATTTTCATTTCTCCACTTGCATGCACAAAATCATTGCATACATGTACACAATAACTATCCTGTCTGAAATCATCTCTTTTTTCTTACAGGCATTTTGACCCTTTTTTGGAAAACGGATATGACATCCCTGACACACACTTGGGGAGTGATTCTGAGGATCTAAGTGATCTCACCGCAACACCAGTACTTGAGATTCCTTTATCCCTCATTCTGGATGTGTGCAGTGATGATACTGGTCAGCTGGGGTGCAGAATACCAGTCCTGCAGACCTTGCTTGAAAGCCTTGACAGTCAGGACCTGTGGATTATACTTCATGCCAATCACAAAGGTTGAGAACATCTGGTTGATATCCTTGTGGGTGTGTCCCACAGGCAGGAAGGATATGGTGATTAATCAAAACACCTTGTTGAACACCAGCCAGTGGCAGTAGGCCAGCATGTACTTGTTCTTGTTCTCCCAGCTCATGACAGCCATACTGGAGTAAGGGAGAAGGTGAGCAAAACAGGTGATGAGTATTGTGTACACATACACAATAAAAACACTGGTGATTTATGGTAGTTGTGAGCATGATTAATGAGGATATTCTATCATGTACATGTATGTGATACCTTCGCCCTGAGCCTATATTCCTTCTTGAGTGCTGGGCTATCAAATCCTGGCTGGATCCCTATATCCATGGTGTTCAGGGAACCTCCAGGCCTCATGTCTTCCACTTCTCCTGTCATGAAGAAGATGTGCAGATGTTCACAAAGGACTACCATTCCTCTGCCTCTCCATGGATGGGTGCCTATTCCTTCCTCAACCTCTGTCCCTCTGACTCTCCCCTTCCTCTTCTCCTGGCTCAGCTCAATACCACCATCCTCAAGGATACCCTCTCTGCCCTCACTGAGCTCAACAATGC